AAGATATTAAAAACTTGATCAATAAGGATCAGCCATAAAATGGGCCCGAGGGAAGAACCCTGAGGAACACCAACGTTAAAAGCTCTTCGAGTTAAAATGTGACCAGCACTGTTTTCATATAAAACACTTCTGTCGTTTAAAAAACTGAAAAGAATCTTGAGTATGTTGATTGGAAGATCCAGGCTGTTAAGTCTCTCCCTGAGTATAGCCCATCTCGCGTTGTTAAAAGCACCCTTGATGTCTAGGGCCACTCCAATTGTATGTTTGCTAGATTGTTTAGCCTCACCAATAAAATCCACTACAGCCTTCAATGCGTCATCCGTCCCCCTACCAGATCTGAAGCCATATTGATTATCATTCAAGCTATTTTTACTTTCCAAGTAATATGTGAGTCTTTTGCATAAAAGTTTATCTAGAATTTTTCCCCAGACTGGCAGTAGGGAAATGGGCCTGTAGGAATCTGGATTGACAAGATCTTTGTTTGGTTTACCAATTAGGGCAACCCTGGCAATTTTCCAGCATTTTGGGAAGTGACCCAAAGAGAGACATTTATTCATGATACTAGTGAACCAGATCTTATTTGTGTAAAATAGGTCTCTGATGACCTCTCCCGGGATTCCATCTGGTCCTGGAGCCTTGCCACTTTTTAAGTCTCTAATTACACACTCAATTTCATACATGCCAAAAGGATCATCCTCAGCCTCCTGTCCAAAGCATGTGATCATGTCTTCCTCTACCTCCTGAAAATGATAAGCAAGGATATTATCAATCGATTCTTTAAGCTCCATTGTGGTGGTCCCATCAGATCTGATTGTGTTATAGAGATTCTGTCTTCTAAGGTCTTGACCGTCAGCAATCTTGTATGGCGATCCAAATGCCTGTTCGAGGTTAATACCGTTGATAAATTGCTTAAAGTGGTCTCTTTTTGCTTTTTTGATTTCACATTTATAGTTGGCCAGAGTCTGTTTATACCTGATCTTCTGTGCCACTCTGTCATCCTGTTCCCGGGCTCTCTGGTACAATCTTCTATGTGCTCTGGTTTTATTTCTAATCTCACTCAGTCTGGGGCTTCACCAGGGACAAGTTGGTCCTTTTTTTCTAGAACCGGATCTTCTCCTAGATTCATCGCAAGCCCTATTAATGTCATTGGTTATACCCTTGATAAGATCTTCCAGTTGATCAATATTCTCTATATTTTCAGCGTTCCATTTTTCTGGAATCTTATAAAGCTTTGTCCTGAGATCAATCCACCTGAGATTCCTGTAATTGTGTGATCTATTTTTAAGTTGGATTTTGTTATGTTGGGTGGTTATTTCAGCTGTAATTAATTCGTGGTCAGACAAACTAATGTGGTCATGGTCTGTATAGTTGTCAAGCAAGTCAGAGTTAGTAGCAATGATATCTATCCAGCTGTGTCTCAGTGTGGATGAGTAAGTCAGAGGAGCCTCAGGATCATTGATCACATGAACATCATGGCTAATCAAGAACATCAACAAGTCATCTCCCCTATTATCAGATATCGGGCCCCAGACCGTAGATTTAGCGTTAACATCAGCACACAGTATTACATTGTATTGGGAGTATTTGACCAAAAGAGAGTCCAGGATATTAAGTGTTGGATCCATTGAGTCACAAGGTGGTAGGTAGAAAGACATAAAGACAAACATTTGTGAGTCAATTTGGAAGGTAACAGCGCACAAATCTCTATGACAGATAACAAGGGAATCATCGCTAATCCCTGTTCCCACCAAAACTGCCACTCTAGGTTTCTCTCTAAATGAATAAATTTTAAGATCATTTGAGAAGAATGGAATTTGACCATCATGCTGAAAGTAGGGTTCATTAAGACTAATGATCTGCAGATTTAGTCGTTTTATATCAAGATTAAGTTGTATGTTAGCCAGGCGCGAATGATGAAGGTTCAGGTGCCTTATTGGAAGATGATTAATTATACCACTTGCCATAGTCGGTGTTTCTTACTTGGACAGCCTGTGCTCTCTGATACTGGTTACACTGCTTGTCAAAAGGGCCATGGCCGGTTTCGAGATTTAATCCATATTTTTCATTCGCTATTTGGCAATTCGCGCAATATGATCTCTCCTCGCATTCATGGATCTTGTGCTCATTTGAGGAACAATGTCTGCAGATTGCATCTCTTTGACAATCTCTTGCGAGATGGCCGATGCCAGCACAACGGTAGCATTGGCGTACCGCAAAATATTCGTCGTAGTTGTATCTTCTCCAGCTGATGTTAATTTTATCCTGGTATTTGATGTAATGAAAAGCATCAGGTGAAAGTTCCACAATCCAGTGCCGGGTACCTTTCTTTCCTCCCAAGGAGCCTCTCACGTTTACCTCCTCCTCATCAACACCTTCATGTTGGGACACCAGTAACTCCCCGACTGTTTCCTTGCTCACCTGCCCCTCAACTCCAAAGATAATTATAGAGGGTTTTTTTAATTTAGGTGGGTTGAAAGTATATTCGTTGTTTAATCCAGTTTTTTCCATTTCGTTTCTAAATATTTCTAGTTCTTTTTCTGTCTCCGTTTCTATTATAATTCCACCATTTCTAACTTTCCCAACCCTTTTCACTGCAATTTTCAACTTGGCAGGATCAATTCGATTTGTTATATCTGTTTTTGTTTTATCCGATCCCACATCATTTGCCATTGGTCTTATAATTGCTATATGTTCCTTCTTCTTTTTGGTATTTATGGTCCTGTTATTCCTATTGTTCTTGACGATATCTGCATAAGTTTTCCTGTTTAACTCTCTCTGCTTGTTTGTGTCTTCTATTAACGGATCTAGGTAAGTACGATTCAATGCGGAGTACTCATCCATCTTGGACTGTAGAACTGCAATTTGAGCGTCCTGTTTTGACACCAGAATCATCAGATCCGCCAAGTAGTTCATAATAACCTCCTTATCGCTTTTGGTCATCCTACAATTGTCTCTCAACAAGATTGAGTGGATTCTGTTCTGGAGTGTCATTGCAGGCGTAATTAATGGAACAAACAAGGAGTCTCCTTGATTCGAGTCATCTTGTTCCTCCTGTTCACTCTGGTTCAAGGATTGAGATCCTCTCAACCGTTCAGTATCCATGTCAGTGGCTAAAATTGATAGTCATTAACGTCGATCAGAGACATTGAGGGAGCCAACCAATAACTGCAGCAACTTGTCTCCGATACAGTATTTACCACCTTTCGCAACACTGAAAAATGGCCTCTCACAATCAACCACTCTTTAGTTGAAATGATCCCTAAGTTGCAGCAGGAAATAAAGTTCGATGCGAGCAGGAAGCCAGGTAGTTCAGAAAGGCAACATATGAAACATCCGGATTCATCAAAGGTATATTGATCCAGTCTTATCTTGATCCAGTTTCGCTCTCAACTCTCAATTATGAAATGACCCCCAAATTCAAAATTTTGAAAGAAAATCAAAAGTTGAGTCAAAATTCATTAAAACTTTGCTATAACTCTAATTTTGGGAAAAGTTTCAAATAAGCAACGCAAAGTTTAAATTGACCCCTCTGTTGNTGACTGCGACATGAGCCCCATGAGTATACTGTCACATCGACTCGGGGTCAATGACTGCGACTTGAGCCCCAATTTTCCACTACTTGCGTCAAATTGACGCGTTTTCGTAGAGATAGGTATATATAAGAAACGTCCGTAGACCTAGTGATGTATTCGTTCATGCGTCAAATTGACGTGTGTTCGTAGAGATATGTATATAAAAAACGTCCGTAAACCTAGTGTTAAAAAGAACAACTTGATTTTCTAAGGCAGGAGGGTATTTAACACATTGGAGAACGATTTATTCAAAATTACGAATTATAAGATAAAACAGCCAAATAAAAAATGGTAGTAGATTTTTTATTAAGCATGATAGGAGACTTCTTAGCTGATTTATTAATAAATCCAACCTGATACCTTCACTAAATGCTTTGTCAATTATAAGATGTGGTACTTGTCAATGAATCACCTCTTTCTAAAATAGACTGGCAGTAAAGTATTGTGGCAGTCACTTTTTATTCGTTCGAAATAAACGTGCGAGGAGTATCACGCGTCAGTAAGTCAATAAATGACGTGATTAGGTAAATAATTGGAATTTGATTTCATTATTTAAAAAAATACTTCACACTTTGTTTTTACTAAACGGAATATTTAAACAAATTATTTCCAGTTTTAGGCAATTCTGAGTGAATAGTCTTAAAAAAAAGACTTTAGTTAAAATGATAAACAAAGGAACTTACTCACGCAAATGGTAACCAAACAGAAATAGAATAAAGTTTTCATTTTAAACCTTTGCTACTTTGTTCTAGAGATTTAAAACTAAAGAAAAAATAATATTGATTCGAAAAAAGGAAGAAGTTATAACAGAAGTATATATAGAACTTATTATAGAAGTATACAGTTAATTTTAGATAAGCGTTTATTTCTTAGAAAGTTTTATTCATACTTGATTACTTTTACGTAATATTAATCAGGTAAAAATTAAAGTAGCATTTTAAAAATTTTGAAATTTTTAAAATGTTAATTGAACAGACAGCTTAAGAATATGTTACATTTATATTTAGTCAGCCTATAAAAATACCACAACATATCTAGCAAAATTTTAGTAAATACAAAGTTATAAAAACAAAAGTCACGATGCATAAATTTTTCAACCACATTATATACAAAAATTATATTTTTCAGAAGATTATAACATTTTCCTTAAGAATTGGCAGGTTTGCTTTTTTGACAATTGGGTATAATATTAAAAAAACACAACTACTTCCACTTAGTAGGAATAACATTTACCATGACGCAATGCTAAATTCTATGCCACTATCCACATAAATCAATTATTAATCAAAAATCGAATNAATACCGCACACCCTCGGTCCCTACGCAGACTGATCCAAGTGGTCACCCACCCGCACACTAACCGCAGCCAGTGATGCTTAACTTCAGTGATCTGCTGGGAACTAGAAGCATGATAGGTCTGGGAAACATCCCTGAAGATGGTCCGAAGACATGCCATCACAATTTTGATCCCCTGCAGAGGGGGTGGCACCCCCTCTTCGGTAGCCAGATGACCTGCACGCGAAGTCGAGCACTTTACGGTAGAGCAGTTGAACGAGGACTATTATCGCCCACCCTCGGTCCCTACGCAGACTGATCCAAGTGGTCACCCACCCGCACACTGACCGCAGCCAGTGATGCTTAACTTCAGTGATCTGCTGGGAACCGTGTCTTAACTATCAGTCCACTGCGGGTCTTAACTATCAGTCCACTGCTTACAGAAATGTATATAGAAGTTCTTATAGAAGTATGCAGTTAATTTTAGCTAAGCGCTTATTTCTTAGAAAGTTATAGTCATACTTGATTACTTTTACACAATATTAATCAAGTAAAAATTAAATTGGCATTTTAAAAAATTTTAACATTTTTAAAATGTCGATTGAACAGACAGCTTAAGAATAAGTTGCATTTATATTTAGCCAGCATATTAAAATACCACAAGATATCTAGCGAAATTTCAGTAAATACAAAATTATAAAAACAAAAGTTACGATGTATAAATTTTTCAACCACATTATATACAAAAATAATAGTTTTCAGAAGATTATAATATTTTCCGCAAGAATTGGCAGGTATGCTTTTTTGACAATTAGCTATTTTTGAACCAGCTTGATGTTTAATTGGATATTTGCAACTCGAGAAATAGAAGTTATTATGCATAACCTTGCAATTTAAATCCGATTTAATCGAATACCTGTAAAAGACATCACGCGTGCGTATTGAACCTGATTGGCTTCTGAATCTACGAATGCCACGATTTACCTACGATGATGTCGCTTACAGGTATCTAGTTCTTTTAAATTTTACTCGAGAGATTTGAATAGTTCAAAACCTTAAACCCTTTTCGGAGCATCAAATTTGGATTGAAAATTTTGGTCATGCAGTACATTAGCAAGTGCGCATTGTTAGCAAATAAATTACAGAGCACAAGCAAGCAAGTAAGCTACAGCTTTAAGTAAAGCCACATACTTTAACTCTTTGCTGTTTAAAGAATAGTGGTTTCTAAACGCTTAAAAGCAATTAGTTTTACATTTCTAGTGGTTTACAACATTTGTTGACTTATTAGTGTTGCCAGACTTGCTACACTGCACAGGAAAGAGTTAACCTATTTGTGCTAAACGTTCTTTTAACTAGATAGCTCTTTCTTTAAAGAAAAAAAAGTGGTACCACACGTGTTTTATTATTACTATTTATTTTGCAAAAACTAGGTACTTCTATCTATCTCACTCTTTCAATGACATAAATATTTATACTTAGATCGAAAATCAAAGCATAATGCTTTTTAAATGCTAAAGTATAGCAGAACAAAACAGCCCTTTGGTGTAAACAAATATAAACTACCCCTTTTTTCCTTTTGACGCTTTTCATAAATAGACCACTTTTTTAGGGCCAGGCATCAACGGGTTAGTAAGAAGATTAAAATTCTGTTTACCGCCTATAACAAGGAGATCCTTCGAAACTGCAAGCTATAACAAGAGTATCGAAATTCATTCCAAAATCAAAAAGATCATGAGTTGCGGGTAGCATAGCATCTTCAATATCGGCTAAATCTTGAGTTTTAGAGCTCCGGATTAATCGTATGGCATTCTGCACATCAGGGTCAGATATAGAGTTGAATAATTCTGAAAAAATATACCTTTAGTGCCAGTCGTCATAATTAGAGAACAGGTCATTTAAAAAAAATAATAATAACTATAATAAGCAGAAGTATTATTAGTCATATGATTTCATTATTAATTTATATCTTTGTTAAGTGAAAAGATTTTTATGAATCGTAATAATATACAGGGTGTTTATAAAGTCCCGGACCCATTTTGATGCTTAATAAATAATAAAGATAGATTAAAATTAATAACATAAATGGTTAGATAGACTCAAAAAGTTTCATGACCCTTGTCAATGAACTTCCACGTGTGCCCCCTTCGTCCCACGGAGAATATCAAGTCGATAGTCAATTTCACGCCAGGGAGCGGCAACCATGTCGGCATCCACTGAAGCTATTGCGGTTGTAATTCTGACTTTGAGGTCATCAATGTTTGACACGATCCTCCTGTAAACATTGTCCTTTATAAATCCCAAAGAAAAAAATTCAGCGGCGTTATATCGGGTGATCTGGGTGGCCAAGGAATTGGACCTCCTCGCCCAATCCATCTTCCTGGAAAATGGTCATTCAAAGAACTACGAACGATGATACCCACATATACCTTCGTATTCGATGATACCTTCGTATTTCCACAACTAGAAGAGCTTCAGCCACATGTCTTTTTGCAACAAGATGGTGCACCACCTCATTGGGATATCATCGTTCGGGTATCATCGTTTCTTTAACAGCTCCGAAGATGGCTCTGAGTATTTTTCTTTAAAAAGGTTAGTAGTTTATTTTCATCAGTTTTGCTTCAAGGCCGACATTCGCTACCATGAAGTAATACAGGTTTAATTTGAGCATTATATAAATTTATTTTAGTTTTAATGAAAATAAGGGCATACATATTAAAAATGGTGATCTGCAAGCCTGATGAATGGTTAATAACAAAATACAGTTTGTGAAATTTTTATGTCAAAGAAAAATGATTACCTTCCTCATTTTGCAATGGAATCTTAGTCCATGATTTGTAAACTGAATTGGTGGAGCAATAACAATTCCGCGTGAGGCGTGCATTGGTGGAATTACCTTCGAGTGCTGAGGGTCCTACAGAGCATGTAACACGAAACCTTGGTTTACAGAAGACAGATGAACACGAACAATGGGTAGTATTGAAGGCAATGCAAAACTCAGTGGTGCAAGGGCTTTCTGCACAGGTGCAGGTTTCACTAAACCACGACCATTGACATAGGGGATCTCGATAGCACTTGTCTTGATACTCACTATCAGTTCTAAAAAATAAAGAATGTATTTAAATTCTTAAAAAAAATTTAAAATTTAAAGCAGTTAAAGAGACATTGAGCCCTGTTTGAAATCGGAAGTATGTAAAACAAAAACAAAAGCAATTACCGAATAGTCCTAAGTAATTATTTATACTGATTAATACTTTT